TCCTTAAGTTTGAGTATCAAATTCAAAAGCTAAGGACACTTGGTCCTTAACTTATAGATTAAAGTTTAGAACTTAAGGACTTTCTGTCCTTAACTTTGAATTCCAGGTTCGAATCTTAAGGACAAGAAGTCTTTAAGTTTTAAACTTGAATCTATAAGTTAAGGACAGTTAGTCCTAAAATTAGTCTTACAATCACAGAAGTTAAGGATGTAGTGAAACACATTAAGAGACTTACTCTTTTTTGCGACCTCTCCCTTTCTCCTTGCCCAACCACACAATGAATTTCTTCACTAATTTTTCATATTCTGTGGCATAATGAAAAATACACCTACGAGTATAGGTTGATTTTATCCAACCTGAACTCTTCAGAGTATTTTGATTGTCTGCCTTGGAACTTACTGATTTTCCTTCCTTATCAAAAGGAGATTTCAACTGTCATCTTAACTTCTTGTTCCTTTTACCTCGACCAAGTTCTTATTCAACATTTCCTTCATCCTCCATAGTCAAAGTCGCATCAATGTCCATTTGTGTACTTGGAGGAGTAGGAGTAAAAAGAGAAAATGACGGGCCATCATAACCAATACTGTCTCTCTTTCTTTTCCTTGTATATTGGTAAAGATCGTCATCATTGGTGTCCTCTTTGTTTTTCTCTGTTGGCGACACTATATATATATATATATATATACATATTCATATTAGTTTTCTGCAATAGGTCAAATGAAGAGACAAAATTTCAATTGTACATATAATAATTAGGGCACAATCAGTACCTGTCTTCTCTGCAGTACCTTCTTGTGTTTTTTCAAGACACAACTCAGCTAAAATATTGCGTGCAACATTTTCTTTCTCTTGAAATTCTACATTTTCTTTATCTTGCAGTTGTTCACCATGATCTTTAGATGCTTATTGACAAGATTCTGCAAATATATTTACAACAGCTAACATGTTAATAATCTTAAATTAAAACAAACATATATAAAATTTAAAAAGCACTGCCTAACCATTTGCAATATCCAAGATCATTCCAGCTACATCATCATCATCACATGTTGAATCTATAGATTTGGAACCAATCTCACTTCTGCCTATGTCTTGAGATTGTAGTCCAGTTTTCTCTTGATACTGCACTCCAGCTTCTTCGCTTATTGTTTCAAAAGATACAATATATAATGAAATAAAGATACAATATATAATGAAAATTTTATCTAACCTTGACTGGCACAAGTTTGAACTCCAAATTTTTCTTTGTATGACAGCGATGTAGAGAGATCATACGTTCCTTCTAAGCATTTGCATACAATCTTGCTGACACTTGTCCCCAATGGACTTGTTAAATCCTCTTGTGATTTNCACTTCTGCCTATGTCTTGAGATTGTAGTCCAGTTTTCTCTTGATACTGCACTCCAGCTTCTTCACTTGCTGCTTCAAAAGATACTGTAACATTTGCAATTAATATCCATTCTAATAATTCACTAAAATAAAGATACAATATATAATGAAAATTTTATCTAACATTGGCTGGCACAAGTTTGAACTCCAAATTTTTCTTTGTATGACAGCGGTGGAGAGAGATCATACGTTCCTTCTAAGCATTTGCATACAATCTCGCTGACACTTGTCCCCAATGGACTTGTTAAATCCTCCAGTGATTGCAATCCACGAACTCTACAAATTTTCTCTGGCACTCCTTTCTCTTGTTGATTCTCCTACTCTTGACAATCTCCTAAATCTTCAACTTTTGNTGATTGCAATCCACAAACTCTACAAATTTTCTCCGGCACTCCACAAACTTCTGCATGCACATGCATAGTTTATATGTATTAATCTATTGAATATACATTTCAACGAAAATAAAAATCAAAATCTATATCTAACCTTTCCCAATATCAGTAACATTTTCAGTTTCATCATCTAGATGTGCATCTCTAAATTCTCTTTCATACTGACCCTCTGCATGCACATCCATATAATCACGTTCAACACCACCTGCATCTTGGTTGAATATGCCAGTACGCTCAGTAGCACGACAATGATCATCAACTCCATATTTTCTAATTGGAACACTAGATTCTCTATCTGTGTTCATCTGATCAGCTTTCCCAAACATGTTCATCAAAGTATCAAGCTTTGATCCTAGAGTTTTCTTTAAATCCTGAGAAAACAACTAAGTTACAAAGAGAAGGACAGGTTTAAAACTTAAGGACATGCAGTCCTTAAGTTTGAACTCAAAGTTCAAAACTTAAGGACATGCAATCCTTAAAATTNATGCAATCCTTAAGTTTGAACTCCAAGTTCAAAAGTTAAGGACAAGAAGTCCTTAACTTTGAATTCCAAGTTCAAAACTTAAGGACATGATGTCCTTAAGTTTCATTTCAAAGTTCAAAAGTTAAGGACAAGAAGTCCTTATCTTTCAATTCCAAGTTCAAAATTTAAGGACACAAAATCCTAAAGTTGGACTAACTGAAATTACCTTGATTTCATTCTCAATCATTTTTTCTGATACAACAATTTTCTGATTAACTCTGGTAACTTCTGCTTGCAAATCCTTCTTAAAACTCTCTGATAATCTCTGAATCAAAAAACATAATATAAAAAAAAGGTGTTCGTAAGCAAGAAATAATCAAATAAAAAACTAATACTATTCAAAGGCAGAAACACATACTCTAACAATTTCCTTAAGTACGCCTTCGTCAAATTGTGTGGAAGAAGACCTTGAGCCTCGATCTTGTGAAACTGGCTCCTCCACACAAAGAGGCTCTGTATCTTCTTCTTCCACGGGAATAAAGGGTGACATCTCAATCAACTTAAATACCTATTATATAAGAAAAACTAAACATAAGTATACATAACTAAAACAAATAAACAAAAAAAGAGATAGTAATTACATTAACTTACTTTTTCATTATGGAAATATTTTCTACAAAGAGCATCAAATTGTGGAGACTTCATTTCAGAATAACATAACATTCAAGGATAACCAGCTTCTTTGAAGTTCACAAATTGTTTCTCTTGGAAATAGGAAGTACTTCCATAATCCAGACACAAAACGCAAAAGGAAAGCCAACTAAAGTGTAGCTATCAATATCTTTTTCTTTCTCTTTCTCCTTCTCAACATCATTCTCATTTGATTTCAAGCAACTCTTCAATGATTTTAAAAGCGTCTCATAAGCAAGAGAGCCCCAGTTGAAGGAAGCGCAAAGTGCATAATCGTCAACAATTTTCATTATTTGCTCCGACACATTCCTATTTTTCCTCTTGCCCATCAAAACCGACTCAACAAAATAGAGTGTTGCCAACTTCAAAGCATCATCATCACGTCTAGCAAATGATGAAGTTGTACCATGTGGGCGACTAGAAATAAAACTATACAAATCAGCCAACTCAATTTTGTCCTTTCCAGGGAAATAGACTCTTAAAAGCCTATTCTCTTTCTCATTTAAACCTTTCATGTCAAGCGACGAATAAGACTTCAAACCAGTAATAATATGGAATGCATCACGAGTAAACTTAATATCGCGGTCAAATACCTTGAAGGTCATCGAATCAGGTTCATTACTAACAATTTCAAAAAGCAATACATAGTGCATAAGTTTACCCGAGAACTTCACACTTTGTAATCTGAAGAAGTTGCCAAAAATACTTTCCCTCAATTTCTTCCATTGGCTATTCGACAGAAAACTTTTAATTGTTTCCTTATATTGAAAATCTCCTTTCCAATATACCAGAAAATTACGCCAATCGTCAAAATCAAACAAATGATCGCCTTCCATTATAACACTAGAAAAGAAGGAAAAACAAACAAAGATTAGGACTTAACTTAAAATTTCAAGTTTAAAAGTTAAGCAAATACAATCCTTAACTTTAAATTTTAAGTGCAAACGTTAAAGAAATACAGTCCTTAACTTATACTTTCAACTTCCAAAGTTAAGGACACTTAGTCCTTAACTTCAAGTTTCATGTGCAAAAGTTAAGGACAATAAGTCCTTAACTTTAAATTGTAAGTGCAAAGGTTAAGGAAATACAATCCTTAACTTATACTTTCAACATCAAAAGTTAAGGACACTTAGTCCTTAACTTCAAGTTTCATGTGCAAAAGTTAAGGACAATCAGTCCTTAACTTTAAATTGTAAGTGCAAAGGTTAAGGAAATACAGTCCTTAACTTATACTTTCAACATCCAAAGTTAAGGACACTTAGTCCTTAACTTCAAGTTTCATGTGCAAAAGTTAAGGACAATCAGTCCTTAACTTTAAATTGTAAGTGCATAGGTTAAGGAAATACAGTCCTTAACATATACTTTCAACATCCAAAGTTAAGGACACTTAGTCCTTAACTTCAAGTTTCATGTGCAAAAGTTAAGGACAATCAGTCCTTAACTTTAAATTGTAAGTGCATAGGTTAAGGAAATACAGTCCTTAACATATACTTTCAACATCCAAAGTTAAGGACACTTTGTCCTTAACTTCAAGTTTCATGTGCAAAAGTTAAGGACAATCAGTCCTTAACTTTGAATTCCAACTACAAAATTTAATGTCGTTTCTTCTTTACATTTAATGAACACAGTTAACTGAAAATTCATAATCAGTAAGCTTATGAATTTCTACGACTATTTTTATGAAATATACCTACATAATCAAATATATTGAATCAACCACAAACACATTTCAAATTTCACACACTAAAAATTTATCAAAAACAGAATCACACAAAATATACTACACTGAATCAACATATAATGCTAATTTTTGAAATTTCACACATACTTCACACGGCATTGAACCAACTTACAAATAAAGAAAAACGAAGATGACGGAGAAGATGAAGGACAGAAGATGACGGAGAAGATGAAGATGAAGATGACGGAAGATGACGGAGAAGATGAAGGAGCAGAAGTTTAACTGAGATTGCAGTTTCCATGCGAGGAAGATGAAGAAGCACAGAGCACGGAAATAGAAAATAAGGGTTAACCGCTCTCGTCTGAACTCTGAACGAATGAAAATAAGGGTTTTCGTCGATTTTGGGATTATACAAGAAATAGAGAAAGGGTAATTATGTCTTTTCCCCCCTTAGTAGTGGCTATTTTTGATAAGCATTTTAAATAGTGGATAAAAATTAAATACACCCTTATTTAGTGGCTACTACACGCCATTTTTACCATATTTTAAGATGCTTAAACTGCTGGACTCACGTAGAAAGAATTGGAAAAATCCAAATCACTTTAACTTTAGAAATATTTTATATGACAAGTGCTTTGGTACTTCACGTAAGCATATTATCCCTTGAAGTATAACAGTGTTGTGAGGTTTAATCAACTTTGCAAATGTATAAGCTCTTGTACGAGTATTTAAGTATGAGTACTTCAAGTCTTATCCTTGAAATCCGACAAGCTTGCGCTTCAGCAAGCCTTGAAGTAGGGGCATTTGTAGACATACAAAAAATTATTAGATTTAAATCTATAAAATAATTTGGACTATATTTTAAATCCAAGTATATTGGTCCAAATAAATATTATGGGCTAATATAATTGAATTAATTATATAAGTCCAATATATATATGGATTAAATAAATAAGTCTTAAACCATTGGGCTAGCCCATTTAATTGGGCTAAAGTGATGAACCCATTTTATTAAGCCCAAGGTGACATCTTCCTAGAGGCCCAGTTTGGTGCCACGTGTCAAATGACATGGCACGCCAATCAAACGGAAGGGCCAATAGGATCATGCCACATGTCAAAATGACAAGGCATGCCAAGTCACATTAAAAGGCCAATGAAATCGCGCCACGTGTGCAAGTGACATGTTCTGGCCAATCAAATGCGGCCATGTCACACTTCAATTTGATTGGTCGGAAAGAGTTTGTTTTTATCACAACTCCTCCCTTCCACAACTATAAATAGGGGTCTTCATAACTCAGAAAAGACACCAGAAGTTATAACAAGAAGCAAGAGAGAGCTCGTAGATTAAACACCGCAAATTTCTCCACAAGTTTCAATCTTCAAGCAATCAAGTTCAAGTTCAACAAATCAAGTCCAAGCTCAAGAACGAAGAACAAATCAAGTTCAAGCTCAAGAACGAAGAACAAATCAAGTTCAAGCTCAAGAACGAAGAACAAATCAAGGTTTAAGGAGTGCAAGTTCAAATCAAAGTTCGCGCCAGTTGAATTCAAGATCATCGTTCGTGGCAACAAACATAGATTCAAGATCAAGCTCAAGCTCAAAGGCCCTTGAATTTATTTACTATTGAAAAGAAGAATCAGAGGATTTATAGAGATTGTACACTCAAATATTCGAAATAAAATACTACGATTGTTGCACTATTTTTCGGTCTTGATTTTATTTTCTCGACGCAATTTATTGTCTATAATAAGAAAAGAATTTTTATAACGTAAAATATTAATTAATTTTAAAGCCACAAATTTTAGACTTTCTATCTATTAAGGAAAGATTTAGTAATTATATTTTTAGTTGTTTTCAATGTCCTAAATATTAAAAAATATAATAATGATTACTTTGTCTTGCGTGAACTCTATGTTTAAAGAGTAAAAAAGGCGAATAACATTTTGTTAAGACCATTCATAATTTAAAAACTAACTAATTAATTCAAAGATTTAATAATTTATTGTCAACATTAAAGGAAATAATTTTGTTTTCTTGTTGATTTAAATTATTAATATTGTTCATCTCCAATTTTAAATATTTAACTGTAATATAATTTTATCCACTAAAAATTCTATTCCTATAGCTTGTAGGCAGAAAAATGATTTAAAAAGAAGTTAAAAACGCAAAGAAACGCAAATCCTTTACTTCTTTCCCTTTCATTTGCTTTTCTTTATTTCCTTATTTTGAAAATTAATATTAGAAAAAATAAACATGGAAGGTTTTGTTACCTTCCTAGGGAAGTGTTTATATAATGTAAAGTTTTAATCAATTTCAAAATGTAGAACTTTCTACATATTCAAATAAGGAATATATTTTAAACTAAAATTTTAGTTGATTTAGAACTCCTAAAAATAAGGGGAAAATTTAAATTACAATTTTGTCCTACATAAAATCTATTTTTGAGGGTAAAAAAGGCGAACGACATTTCGCTAAGGGCTTTCGTTCTCTATATATATAATTAAGTTTTAAAAAACTTAATTATTTTTAATACAAATTGTGTTATAGTTGACGCGAGCACTATTACATGTGCATTGATCGCTCTAATATCGCAAGCGACATGGTTTACCTTAATTATAAACACTAATTAGAACACGAAGATACAAACCAAACCAACACGGCCATCTCTTCTTTTCAACTCTCATTCTGTAACCCAGTCTACACAAAAGAAATATTAAGTTTTTCGGTGAACATTTATAACCTTTAATCTGTGTATGGGTGCAAAATGCAAATAGTTGTTAAAGAAATCAAAACCAAAGGCTGCAAAGGTACGAAGAGTAAACAAATTTTCAAGGAGCAAAAACTACTTTTTAGAATTCCCAGAGTAAAAGCTTCATACCAAGCTTAAGGGGCAAACATTTAGTTTGAAGGCCCCAACCGAAAATTTTGGAATATCAGATCTCTGTATGTTTTGTTCATGGTACAAGGAGGCACGAATCCTATACAAAGACTAGTAGTACACAGTAAATAAAAGATGTACAAATCCATGGCCATGACCAAAGCTTGGTGTTAAATCAGTTGTTGAACTAAAACAGTAATCTGAACAGATAAAACTGCACAACTTCACTTCTTGGCGGAAGATCTCCAGTTAGGAGTCAGAAGCTTCAATTCAAATTGGGGGAGGGCGCCCATCAATTGCTCTCATCAATCTAAAAATTGCAGCAATGAGCCTTACCCTTGAGCAAATTGTTCCACAGACAGAACATCTGTCGTGGAGACTGATAATGAGCCGTGAAATAATCTTCCATACATCCATATTGACAAAACTTCCAGTTGTGAGAGTACTGTACAGGAGCGGAACTGTTGTACTTCTCAACCCACATACCCATGCTCACATCCTCCATTTTGAAAAGCTGTCAATTTGATGGGGAAATGCGTATTTCAGTATTGACACTTTTATCATGTTTATGGTTTAAGAAAAAAAGAAAGAATTCAGCTGTGACAAACCCGTAAGCTTCGGTTCCGATATTGAGAAATGATATGTTTAGCAATATCACTTGATATTATATATCCTGGCCCATTAGCATAAGGGGGATATACATCTTCTGGCCACTCCTATTGCACAAGTCAATATTTTGAAATTAAATCAGTGTCTATTAAGAAATCAACAAACGATAGCCATGAATTTTGAATTTATACTCCTATTATCGTCTAAATCTCCGTACCTCAAATGATACAGCCCATTTTCCTGTTCGAAGTGGTCGATGCAAGAGATTAAGATTACCCATGTAAAGAGATCGTCTAGGAGGAACACGCTGAATTTCTCTAAGGACTGCATCTATCCTCACGAAATTATCGTCGTCACATTTCATGATATATGCAGCTGTCACATTCTGAACCTGCAAGAGATATTGTGTGCCATGTCAATAGAAATTAAGATGTGACTAAGCAGTTCAGGAAAGAAGAGGAAGATGAAGCGGAAGTCAGAACTCACCCCATACTCGCAGATAGCAATAGTTTTTAGGACCACTAGCTCATATCTGTCGATAAAGGGGACAATCACAATGTCCCCAAAGTAATCTGCTTCCTTCTTCAATATAGCATTCAACTCCTTTCGTGGATTCTACAAAGTTAATTATTAATACATAAGTAAGCAGATGCACTGGGATTCAACTCCAAACTGGCTATTCGCAACGATGATAGCAGAAGTTCTATAAATAATAACTTGGTAAAAGGGAACCTAAACAAAAAGTAGTACTGAAGACAATAGCACAACCTTTTTCCTGTTCATGTTTTCTCCTTTACTCAAAAGCAACACTACTTTCAATTGACCAACAACAACAACAGCAAACCCAGTATAATCCCTATCTATAAAGAATATCCCAATGAAAGCACCTCAGAAGTCCAAGAATAGAAATGGCATTACTACTTCCTAGAGAACACCATGTAGGGCAAGTCAATTCCTCCCAAAAAGATGAGAAAAACTATGTAACAAGCATGCAGTATGCTCCAGGGATAGCCATGAGGATCTTTCTAGCAGGTTGGGCTGATCTTAGATGATATCTATTATTCAGCTACTTAAGAATACAGTAGTAGTCAACTTGAGATAACAGTCCTACGATCCACCTGAAAAAGGGAGAAGTTGATTGCCATATACTAATAATCCACCGTATCCACCTAAATGCAACTAGGAACTCATTAAATTTTGTAATCATTTTTATTGGAATATGTTTGGTGCTTTGTCCTTATACAAGGGTAATATCCCAGAGTTTGTTGGAAATTAATGCTAAATTCTCTCTCCTCCCTTATGCTTAAGCATCAGGGTAAGTTTCTTCCACTTGAGTTTCCTATAGGCTCTTCTCATTACACAATGTTAGTCACACACAAAGCCATTAATTACGCAGGTAAAATACTCAACATGCTTTGTATGTAAACAAACACAATCATGCCGCTCAGACCAATCATTCATATAATCAAATGTTCTAAATGCATCCACGAGGTGTGCCTCCCGATCAGGTGAGCGAAATTGCCCTCATCAGATTCTATTTTCTTCATTCAAAAAGTTGGTTCTAGAATGGGTAATCAATCCACTACAGTCACACATGTTAGTAAAATATGAAATACTTGTAAAGTTTAACCAAAAGTGTATTTTTTTGAGATGTTCTTTTTTTTTTTTTTTTAGGAGGGAAAATGCATAAGTACCCCTAACCTATACCCAGATTCCCAACTACACACTTTTTCTTTGCGGGAATCCTATACCCCCTAAACTTATTTTAAATGGAATAAATACCACCCTAAAACTAGACAACCAAACTCTTGGCAAGTGGTGAGCTACACGCGCCCCCACATGTATTTTTTATTCTTTCTTCTTTTTCTTATCCTTTTTTCTTATTCTTATTATTCTCATTTTTTTTTGGCTATTTCATTCTCTTTCTTTTTGTTTCGGTCATCGGCGGCATAAAATAGTGGTTGTTGGAATTTCATAAATACCAATTTTTCCGGCGATTTTTTTTTTTCCGGTGACAGATTTTTATCCCGATCTAAGTGTGTTTTGTTTTATATATACATTTTTCTTGAAAGTGTAATTTATGTGTGGGAGGAAGAGCAAAAGAAATAAAAATGAATATAAGCTGAGAAATTTTTTTTCAGTTAAAATTTCAATACATCATTTTTTTTTCGGCGTGGGAAGGTTTTCCGACGATGAATTTTCCCCCCCAAATCTGAGTGTATTTTGCTTTTCTTATGAATAGATCTTTTTGAGAGTTTAAATTGTGTGTGAAAAGAAAAAATGGAAGAAAAACGGTTAGACAAAATCGCCGGAGAATGAATATAAGCCGGAATTAGAGAAGAAACGAAAAAAAAAAGTAAAAGAAAAAAGACAAAGAAAAAGGAAAAGTAAAAGGAAAAAAAAGTAAGAAAAAATGGTAAAAAAGAATAAAAAATAATCTGAAAATCATTTTTTCTTGCTTCTCTGGGAGAGTGAAATACACACACTCTGCCACATCAGCGTTAAGGGTGCAAATAATTCCATTTAAAATAACTNACTTATGCATTTTCCCTTTTTTTTACATTGAGGGGAGATGTTTACAAGATGGGAAATCGAACCCGACCAACAAGGTGGAAGTTTAGGTAGTTAACCAATTGGGCTACCACGATTCCCCATTGTTCTCTTCTTTTCTATACATTTTCCCTCTCTATAACTTCGGCATTTGTTGCTGGTAGTCTGCCACATCTTGTTAACCATTAATATAATAATGTTTGGGGCTTTGTGCATATTTAGTCACATTTAGGATTTTCACCTAAGATTCAGCATCTAGAAAGGTCAGCATAGATCATCGCCTCGGGACTCCCTAAACTTGGCACTGTTTATTTAGTGCACACCTGCACTAATTTTTGTCCTAATTACCCCCCTTAACTTGGCAGTTTGATGGCCTTCATCCCCAGGACGCTGACGTGGCAAAGTGCACTCTCTTTTAAGCACGCGGGAGTGAAGAAATTTTGAAAAAGCAGCTTCCAAGTGGGGTATTTTTCAACTGTTAATTGGCAAATAGTCATATATAGTGATTTATTTGTTCCAATTGTGTATTTCTTCGTACTTCTTATATTAATATACCATGCATGCTTTACTTCAACTTTGTTTTTCTATTTCTTCTTTAGGTGCAATGGCTATTTGTTCCAACTGTGCATTTCTTCTTTTTCGGGCCAAATACGTAAAAAGAGTTGAGAAAAATAACGGAATTCCAGACATGTGTTTAACAAATTTGGCCTGAAAAAAGATGATCCAAAAATTAACGATTTTCAGCTCATAGATACTTGTCTGGTTTTGCTAATTCCAATAATCAACTTATCAAGAAATCAGTTCAATGAAACATCTTATTCCTTAACCTATTATTTAACAATCTCCATTAATTACCTCATCGAAATTAAAATTTATTGGAGTTTAAAATGTTGTAATTACGAAGAATACTTGACTGCATTTGAGGTCCACACTTATTTGGGTGGATCAACAGTTATGCACATCTTTCTTTTATTTGGGGAGGTGAGCGACTTACCAATGCAACAAAGAAGCGGACTGCTATATCTGAGGACTTAATTGCTGAAGCCTGCATCCACGTTTTCCTGATTGCCATACGCTCAGCAAAGTGATTGGTGGCAGAAAGCACCCCAATAAAAATTTGAATGCGATTCTGGGGTAAAGGAAGAGATTTCCACTTCTCTGAGAAGTCCAACACCCTTTGGGGAGAAAAACTTGGATGAGAGGTTGGTAGAGATGTAGCATAAACCGAATGTATATCTACATCACCTCTGATTGCCAACCCTGTAGCATCTTCCAGTGTAAAGCCCTGAAAGAATAGGGAACATTTAATTAAGGCTCACAAGTATAGTAGGGTAATAACATGACTGAGGAAACTAAAACATTAATTCCAGAAAATCTGGTGATCAAATTAATTGCAAGGATTACAAATTCGGTACACTGATTTAGAGTTTCGGAAAAGGATCAAATACTAGGACATATTTGTGTCTACCGTTCATTTTTGTCCGGTAATATTTGTATGGGTAAAAGATTTGAATAGTAGTTTGATATCCAATGTGCCCTTTTGTATAAGGAAAATGTATGCAGTGGATATTCAATGGTGATCATGACTGGCCCAGCAGTCCAAGACTCTAAAATGTGCTAACTCTCAAGTCAATTTCAAGTGCAACGTCTTAAAAATGCTCTCCTTCACTAGAGACTTGCTCAGTAAGCAGAACACTTGCATGTCTACCAAGAAAACATGCAAAATTGTTTGGAAGAGCGCTAGTAGCTTACAGTTCGATACGGAAATGACGTCACGTGCCGGCCGCCTACATTGATATGGTAGCCATCAATACCAGCACGAATAGTAAGAATAAACATCCTACCCTCCACAAATGGGAAAGGCCATGTCACCTCTGGTTTCTTTGCACGTCCAATAAATCGATCAAACCATGAGAATATTTTCGACTCTCGAGTATCAACAATGTCATTCCGCATCCACTTCTCACATCTCAAATATCCATCAACTGTCATGAAAATAAAATTCAAAAATTTATGGTATTTGATTGATGTAAAGCTATAAAATCAAGAGTCACACAACTAAAACTTGTTCGACATAAGTAGGAATAGGAAGCAAAAGAGGTTTATCAGCATTCTCAAGTGAAATATATATATCATAGGGTGAAAACAATACGGCCAATATATAAATGAATAAAAGGAACAGAAGTGATGTCCAGGAAACTAAATTAAAACCAAAAATTAAGCATTTAGTAACCTAAATTAATTCAACTAAACTATACTGAAGGAGTTCGGGTAAAATGATATACAATTGTAGTTTCCTGGACCAAAATGTTATGTGCAGTTGTTAGTGGTCAGCATGTGAAAGTGGTTCTCGGCAACCTAACCCCTATTATCAGCTTGCTAATCAAACTAGCTCGACATTTCTATAATTTAAGGTAGATTTTCAATTATCTGCACAATCTTGTGTGATTTAATATTGGATGTTGCAATATAATGTGCTTGACAATAAGCTTAATTTTGCCTTAACAGTCACATTTGTAAAGTCCACGGGAAGCACACCTTCAATATGCAAGCAGCACTTGATAAAGAAGAGTTCATGACCTAGTTTTCAAAAGAAGAGGAGCGTGATAGCAGCATGTCTAGGGGGTTCACACCAGACATCGTGCCTAAGGAGCATTGGAAGCTACGGGAGACCCCAAGTGAAGATCAAGGCCGTTTTTGGAAAGAATTGAAGGGTGACACAATTTCAAGAGGAAATGCGATTGCACGATGTGTCCTGCACCCTGCAGTAAGAATTGAAGGGTGACACAATTTCAAGAGGATATGTGATTGCACGACATGGCTGTGACCGCAGGCCAAAATTCTGGACTGCAGATTTATCAAGGTTGTGGGACCGCACAATGTGTCACCAGCTGCATGCACCTGAGTCTGAATTCGGGAGCTCAATGGGTCAAGATTTAGCCTAGTGCGCAACCGCAACTGCAAACACCTTTGGAAATTCCCTGCCACATTTACTCTTGCGTGTGACGAATGCACACACCCTTGCATGGGTTACTAAGTTTCAAATGTGCAGTTTTGAGGCTGGTTTGCCTACAACTGCTATATCTTGTTCTAATTGGTTNCTGGTCTATGGCTCCAATCTCCTCTAATTCTAGGATTCAGATGCAAAATCTTTGGTGGATCCTCACCAACAACTGACTTTAAACCCTGTAATTCAATCATAAATTGGGAAACCAAGACTAATGCATCGCCAGCCCTTGTTTTGGCAAGCTGTGGTACATACTCATGATGCGCATAATGAGGAGTACCAATAAGTGTTATAGAAGAACCTGCTGCAAGCCCACAAGGTAGGAACATAAGTTGATCTGTTTTAGCAAGTTGTGCTCCACTAGTAGAAACCCATGAAGGACATGACTCGGGCTTCCCCTCGAGTATTGAATTCATCTCAATCCCCTTCTCCTCATATTTATCTAATTCTTCCCAGGCTTTCGAGCCTAAAGTCCAAGCTTCATCAGCCATTCTATCCAAAACAGAAAGATTTCGCTCCATATTATTTCGTTTCATAATAGCTGCAGTAATTCGACCATAGTGAAGCTTACGAGGCTTTTTATGGGGCAACGCTCCATTTTCATTTTCCTCTTCTCGCGGTGTCACTAGTGCATATTGGCTTAAATTATTATGAAATCCAGAAGTCGATGATTCTCCACCATCATCCTCGACATCTAGAGCCACATCCGCAGCAGCAGCATCACCACTCAAAGCTGTAGCGCTCTCGAGAAACTCTGGGAACTTCACGCAGATGAGGATCAAGTAAAACGCAGCTAAACCTAGCAAAATATATGACAATTTGAACCTCCTCACACTAGAAGCCTCATTTTTCAACCTCTTCATCATTCTAATTATAAACCTAATAAGCACACACAACATCCCCTAAAAACTCCACCACTTCATTATTAAAAATCTGTCAGAAACACCAAGCTCTCAATTGGTAAACGCAACAAATCATAAATGCGATACTGAGCCGCAATCTGCAAATAATTCACTACAGCAATACAGAATAAAACACGTTATTTGACCTCAATTACCCAGCATTACACCATATCCAGGGCAATTTTGGAAAAAGTAGGCCCAACAATTATGTTCACAAAGCCAAAGGTGCAGAATGCCCTATAAATGTGAGGGCAAAATGTGAAGAAACTGGAAGAGATCAATCTTGGAGAGGGATAGGGAGAGAAACCCTAGTTTAGCAAAGAAACAAAAATAGAAACCGTAGCTTTTGGGTCAAGGAGAAACAGCAGTTGATTTGGTTGTTGACAGAAGGAAGAACGGAAAGTCATTGTGAAGAATAAATCAGGAAAGGAAATTTAAAATAAAAGAATCAGAAAAGGAAACTTCCCCAAATATTTGCGGAAAATGAGATGGTACCTTTGTCCCTTAAAACCTTGGCTAGTTACCCAAATAATTCCATAGTGACGATCCACGACGGTCGACGGACCTTATATTATCGATTGTTGGATCTTAAATTAATAGTACTAGTACTATTTATGGGTAGTTCGTGATAGAGCATGAGTCCAAGGAAACTATTAATTTTCTTCTCATTATAAAAGAACTTTCATGACTCAAAACATAATTGTTAAATTTTTAATTTTAATTTAAATACTCATATTTCAAAATTTAATTAAAATAATGTCCAACCATATACTTATAACTTTTAAATAGTCTTTTTCAGCTTTAATAAAGAAAATATTTTTCAAACCAGTTGAAGTTGAAATTAGTGACGTGAAAATTTTTGGTGAGACCTCTAAATCAGTCACGTTGTGGTGTGCCGCATCACGCCTGTGGCTTGCTTGCTTAGACAGCTAGCCAAACCTCATTGGGCACTCGATTAGGCCTAATTGTGTTGACCTGGTTAGCTTCCAAATTTCTCACCTAAAATATGGACATACCATGACATGACCCACTTATGATCTTCACGCGATTGATATGATACGCCACAGTTTATATGTGACCTGTTCAACTTTTAAATTTTTTTCTTTTTTTGCAGTGAATCAACCCCAACTCTTCTGCAATTAACTTCCAGCACCCAAATCAACATCCACAAACAAGATGCAAACATCATACTCAATTACTAACACATAATATCTGACAATTTAGCAAAGTCTTGAAGCTTGAAACAAACTCAATCTGTTTCCTTAGAACTTATATAGTTGGACGATCGTGTAGTGCAATAACCATGTGCACAATCCAAACAATATGAGCTGGCGATTCAGTATTGGTGTTCACACTTCTTGGAATATTTTACATTTGCTCTAATTTAAAATCTTGAAATTAAGCTACAGTTGACTTGCTACCTCTCTGTCCCCAACTACCCCCGTGTTTTGATCTTAATTCCCCCTTTAATTACATTTGCGTATTTTCTACCTGAAAATTTCTTTTGTGTTTGTATGATTTCCCTCATTCCTAGCTATTGAGCTTCATCTCCATTAACATTCAACCTGTCCATTAATTAGATTCCAAAATGTTACCTACCACAATTGAGTTGTCGTCACAGTCAATGGCGGGCGTTGAGGAAGAGGAACAAGTGCTGATGGACAAAATTCTTGGCGGAACAGATCAGCTGAGCGTTGTCGCCATTTTTGGCGTACCCGGACTTGGTACGACAACTCTTGCCAAAAAGTTATATACCCATGAAAATGTAGTCAATCGCTTTGATGTTCGTTCATGGCGTTGTGTCTCTCAAATCCATGTCAAAAAAAGATTATTGCTTGAATTGTTGGGCTATGAATTTGAACGCCATGTTGAAATCGAGAGGAGTGAAGATGAATTAATCCTACAAGTACAAAGGTGTCTAGAGAAAAAGAGATATTTAATAGTTATAGATGATGTATGGAGCACTGCTATATGGGATGACTTAGTCAGTTTTTTCCCAGATAACAACAAAAAGAGTAGAATTATTGTAACTACTAGGCTTGATCATGAATTGCCTTCTTCTGTAAAAATGTTTTGCTATACTCATCATCTTTCGTTTCTCGTGGAAGATAAAAGTTGGTTGTTATTACAGAAGACAGTATTTAAGGAAGAAATTAGCTGCCCTCAAGAACTCGAGGAAATAGGGAAGATGATAGCAAAAAGTTGTGCAGGACTGCCTCTTGCAGTTATTTTGATAGGTAGTCTTCTTGCAAGATTGGACAAGAAAAGAGGCTATTGGACTAAAGTTGCTAAAAGGTTAAGTGCAAATGCAAAAGTGGCTGGTGAGGCAGAGTGGTACATGGACATAATAGAGTTAAATTACAAGCATTTACCACATTATTTAAAACCATGCTTTCTTTACTTTGGTTTGTTTCTTGAGGATGAGGAAGTGTCAGTTAAGAAGTTGATACGGTTGTGGGTTGCTGAAGGTTTTGGACAAAGTAATGAGGTGAAGATCGCAGAGCATATTGCGATGGGCTATTTGATTGATCTAATTGCAAGCAATCTTGTTATGGTTGCTCAAAGATTTCCCCTTGGAGGCATAAAATCTGTTCGTCTTCATGATTTGGTTCTAGATTTTTGTTTGAGTAAAGCTAAAGAAGAGAACTTTTCGTTAAAAATTGATAGGTAAGGAGTACCCTTAACTTTTTTGGACTTGATTTTATATTAGGTTTGTTTTCTCATTGTTAGATCTTATTATTTGTTCAGATCTCATGCTTTTGATCCTGCTGCTTCTACTACTAATTCATCTAGTGATATACAACCGTTCCTAGTTTGCTCTAAACTGCATCACTTCATCAAGTGGCTTCGTCCAACTCAGCGCATCCATAGTTTGAGGTTATATCCCCACACTAATGAAACGAACAAATTCATACCAAGTGGAGCATTTAGTTCAGACTTGTTCAAATCATCACTTACAGTACTGGACTTGGAGAACGTTGTGATCGAGGCTTCAGCTCTCGAGGACATAACATCCTTGATTCATTTAAGGTACTTATCAATTTCTGGAAATTTTAGCGAAATTCCACCAGCCATATCGAACCTTACAAACCTGGAAACTTTAGCCGCGAGACCAAAAAGTGGTACCTTAACTCTTCCAGGGTCTATGTGGGACATGATAAACTTAAAGCATGTCGATATAAGTGAAGGGGAAGTTCATTTCGACGTTGTTGGGGCAGAAAAAGAAGATGTTTTCGAGTTAGAGAAATTAGAGAGCTTTTCAAAAGTAGTTTTAGTAAATGAGGATGATATAAGTGAAATGTGCAACAGAGCACCAAACTTGGTCCAACTTCAACTTATGACTATGGAGCATTGGGGCTCTTTGTTCAGTTCTCTCAACTGTCTAATATATCTTGAAACACTAGCTATTTATCACCGTGGTTATTTTCCAATGAGTGGAATTAGCTTGATCTTCCCTCAAAGCCTAAAAGAGTTAACTTTATCTTGTTGTGGCTTCTCTTGGGATGAAATTTCAAGAATTGGTTCATTACCAAACCTTGAGGTGCTAAACCTACTTCTTTCTGCCTTCACTGGTAGAAAATGGACAGTTGGTGTTGGAGGTTTCGTTAATCTAAGGTTCTTGAAGATCGAACATAGTTCGATCAAACATTGGAACATGTCAGTGGATTCATTTCCCTGTCTCGAGCAATTGGTGTTGCGTTGGTGCGATAAACTTGAGGAGATACCTTCGAGTTTTGGGTGCATGCCTTCACTGCAGAGGATTGAGGCGCACTGTTGTTGCCCCTCCGCCACAAAATCTGCCGTGAAAATTAGGAACATGCAGAGGGATGATATGAAAAATTCAGACTTCAAACTCATTATCTACTTAAATTATTAGGGTGATGTGATTTTCTTCTCTATTTTCATCTTTTTATGTGTTATCCTTTCACTTGCTATTTTGCTTACAGATTTAATGGTGTCATGTGTGTTTGAATTCTTGGATTACTTTTTGCTTGATATGATTTTAGATGCTAATGATTTGTGCTTTTACTTTCACAAGTCTATATATACAACTTAAAGCGCGTAGTGCTTTTAAGCAATCTTGCAGTATTTGGATAAAGTATAAAAGTGATTCTAAACACTTGTTTTAAGCTAAACTGACAAAAATATGTCAAAAGTAAAAAACTAGAATTCCTAACGTATGCTTATGCTTAAAAGTCACTTAAAATAAGCATGTCCAAATAGTGTCTTAGTCAAAGATTAACCATGTGCTACTAGGTAGAAGCATGCTACCACTAAATATAATAAAGGGAGGGCAAAAATGGCACGAAATTGGATTGGATAAGAAGCTTTTAACATTTTAATGATGGTTTTAGTTTGATATATTCATCTCAATCTAACAATACGATAAACATGTAATACAGAATTTAGAATACAATATGACCTGCAGTGCTAAGTGTTATTGAACATAAACATTATTATACAATCAAACTGAAAGGTAAAAGAGAACACAAATACTTTATCAGCAAAGTGTAACTGGTTCGGAATATCATTTATTTATTTTTGTTGGCTTTCGCTTTAACCTGCTTGATATCTTCCTCGAGAGACTTAACAATGCACATAAATTTGTCGAAATCTGTTGTGATCTCAAAAAGTTGTACATCTTGTGTATTGCGTGATCTTTTCATATGTCCTCTAATTCTTTTGAACTCCCACCAGAATTTTTTAGCTTCTTCTTCAGTGTACCCAAGTGAGAGGTATATTATAGCCTGCAAAAAGTTATCTTAAGATGTTTAAAATAACCATCAAAACAAAGAAAGAAAACCATGGTCTGAGTAGGAAGCAATCCAAGAGAGATAACAAAACTTACAGAAAAGTTTAAAAAAAAAAAAAGTTTTATGTACCGACTTATATGCTAACTGCGCGTTGAGTATAATTTTCTTTTAAAATTATTCAAATTTTATTAAAACATTGCAAATGAGTTAATAAGTATAAACTAAAAGAAATAGTATTGGCTCTTGAAAATGATATAAATCCATTCTATTTAGCTAGCTCAATAAAGAAGAATTATACCCTACTGTAGTCACCAAATGCATTGTCGTAGCTCAAATAAAAACTGAAATTTTGCCTACCACAAAATGCCTAATTTTGCTACAAGGGCTATGGATTTGCTAAAGAAACCTATAGAGAGAGGCACATTGCTCAAAATAATATTTCAGTCCTTTTATGAATTTTACTCTTCTCTAAGGAAACAATTTGATGTGTTTAAACTTTGCTTTTTAAATAGTAGCTTCAATATAGTTTTTTTTTGCATAATTCTAAATATTGTGTTTCGCCTTCAAAAAAGCTTTTACTAGATATATGATGGACGAAACAATTAACGAAATAAGCACGATAATTATAATGTTATACTATTTAAAATTGAAATAAAATACTAAATAAAATAATAAACCAAAATAGAATTGAATATGTCATGTGAAGACACGATTAATGAAGGAAATATCATATACAATCAGACCTTTCTATAACAACATCCCTATATAACAACATCTCATTATAAAAGTCAAACTTTTTCGGAACTAATTTTTAAGTTATGTTATAATATATGTTCTCTATAACAGTACTTTGCTATAACATCTAAAAATATTTGGAACAAACGAGGTTGTTATAGAGAGGTTTGATTGTCACGTATGCAACAACAAGAAAAAGTGGTTGGTAAAATAAAAAATAGAAAGATGAAGCTTAATTGTACTATTGTTGTGCTTGTGCTTAATTAAGAAAGAGGAAGCACAACTCAAGTTCATGAAAGCAGTTGATTTATCTAAAATAGTAATAACAAAAGTAAGAAGCATTTTTGCTTATATTGGTCACCTTTCTTGTACCATTTTTACTTGAATTATGAAATATGAGTAACTTAAGCTGGCGTAATTATTATTATAAAATATAGGTAAAAATAATTTTGAATTGATATGAATTAAAATGTCTAATTAATTTTTTGTCATAGATTGCAATAATCCAAACAATCTATACAACAAAATTTGTAAATAAGTCAATTTTGTAATGATAATTACGAGACATTACAGTTCAAAAATACAGGAACATCTATTATTACATAACTTCAAAAACATAGTAAATGTTAGAAAATTTACCTCTAATCACAAGTAATTTTACCTTCACGGTGACGCTATAAAAAAATCTTTTATAGAATTGTTGAGCTCCTCGTCATTCTAAATGGCTTTGGTTTTAAAAGTCTAAAACATCAACATAAGTAAAATTGACAAGTAAAAGAATCCTAAACCTAAAGTGATTTTAACTGTTCAATCCTAGACCTAATTTTCCTCCGTAGGCTACGATAGTTTTGGTAAAGCTAAAGAATCCTAAACGTAAGCAATGAGAAACACAGAGTTCATAGACCTTAAAAAGACAGTTTCATGGTTTTCCCGTAAAAAAATTGGTCAACCTATATTTAAACATAGAAAATAACCTAAATCTAAATAAAGAATGGACACATCAATAAAACCTAATTGCCAGCTGAATCATAAACCTGTTGCACCAAAAAAGAATCACAAACCTATAATGAATCTAATTGGTCTAATTCTAAATATAAATAAAGGAATATTTGTATCCAAAGAAAGGACAATATAAAATTGAATCCAAAACCAACACCAAAGAGACAATGGATGAATCCGAAACTGATACAAAAGAGACAATAAACAGCGTAGACTTCCGGTAAGGTAAGAATTCCAAACAGTGTAAATTCTAAGCAAGTACACGACAATTTGTTTTTTTTTTCCCCAAAAAATTAGTTATTACAATTACGATTATATCAAACATTTAATAACTTACGAAGGATAAAAAGGGCAAACGATATTTTGATAGGGCCTTCGTGCTTTTAATATAGTATAAATATAGATGATAATAAAGTAATTATAGGTAGACTTCAATTATAAACGTTACTCCCTCCGATCCACAATAAGTGACCATTTTACTTTGGCATACCCATTAAGGAAATACGAACTCCTAAAGAAAAAAGACATATTTACTAAATTAACCTTAATTAATTGTTACCTTGACATATTAAAACATGTAAATAAGAGCAAATTTTGGAAAAATAAAATTAATTTCTTCTTTATTATATAAATGAATACTTATTTTGAACAAAATAAAAATATAAAATGATCACTTATTGTGGACCACAAACTTTAATTAGTCATGGGATTGAAAACAATGACTTGTGATGTTCAATAAAGTAAACATTAACGTACCTTATAAAGTGGACGCCTTGCATCGGTAATGAATTCATCATTTAAGCACTCATAACTTAGCGCCTTAATGAATTCTCCCTACAAAAATAATAGGACAAACAAGTTACTATAACATAGACTTAAATTTTGTAAAAGGAAAAAATGCAAGTGGCAGTTTTGTTTCTGTATGTACATGGACCGGGTTAGTTCGATTTTTATCAAAATCAAACAAAACCAACTATATCGGTTTGGATTGGTTTGATTTTGTGAGATTTTTCGGGTTTTTTTGTTATATGAATATTATTTCAATCTTACTTTCTTAAATTTTTTATAAGTAAATATATATTTAGTAAAAATTTTAAAAATTGATAAATATATGATCTATTGAAATATTCGTATGGAAAATTTCTCTTAGTAACACATGATACAATTTTTATGATGATGTACACTTTTAAGGTTAGCCGAATTTAATAATTAAACATAAAAATAAATATGAACCTATATAGTAATATGTTCTATATAATTTTAAATTATCAAAATACCATTTCAAATTCAAAAAAATATAAGAATTTAATAGATGTCGACGTATGATTATGGAAGAACAAAGAGATTGACGCATTTTACTAACACTTGAAAGTGATCATACAACCCATTATTTAAAGTTAACAAATATGGAGCACTTCATATTTATCTAAATATTACATCCCATAAAAGAATCACAAATATTTGTGGACATTTTTAAAGAAATTCAATAAAAAGTCTTAAAAGTATATATAAAAATTATATATTTATGTATCGGTTTAACTCGGTTTTTTTTACTCAATACCAAATTAAATTAAACCTAATCTAATCTTTTAATTGGTTTGATTTGACTATTTTCCTTTTCGATTTCTACCCGCTAGTTTATGTTGTGTCTTGTATCTTTTCCTTCGATCAATTTGCATTAGCTTTATGTAAAGAAGTTGTAACACACGGACCAGAGCTCCTTTGTTTTTAAAATATTTTTTGGACGGGAAAGGCCGGGGCCGCCATAGGATAGGATAGAGGAAGGAAAAAAAAAATGAAGAGTTTAATGATTTAATATAAATCTTATAACATTAAGATCTAATGTAATCAATTTTACATTAAGTTGTTGCTAAATATTACTCTATCTGTTTCATTTTATGTGAGTCTATTTTTTTATTAGTGTTCAAAAAAGTTATATTAAAAAAAAAACAATATTAGTAGAAGAAAAAACCTGGTAAATGAGTGATTCCACAAGTAGCATCTCAAATTCATAAGCTTCATGTGGCTTTCCCTCTAACCGGGCTTCCTTTATTGCAGACTCCAATATTTTCACTGCCTTGCTTTCTTTTCCACTCATTTCCAGCTTTGCAATACACCTCTAGTTAACAGTAAAAACAATTGCAGACTCGTTTCAATTTCAATTCTTTTTTGTAATCCAAAAAATGACAAAATTATATATATCGTAATCCCTTTTAAGTAATTTAAGAAGTGAGTGTACTAGCATGCTATGATCATTTAAGGTCACCAATAAATGTTGAAGAGTCACCACATCTTTACGACTTTCGACCAAGCAATTATTGAAGAAATTCTTGTTTAGTGAACATCGTTTTCGTCTCTTGTGGTGCTTTTTCAACCTCTTGCTTTGACTTGGTCAATTTCATCTGGATTTGCTCCGATTTTAAGAGATGCCGCATTATCTGCATCACCAGTTCAGGTATTCCTTACTTATAGAGCTAGCTTTAGGGGTTAATTAAGCCCAATATTCATTTCTTTCACATGGTATCTGAGCATGACTCATGCAATTCTCGGTTTCCGATATTGGACCCCATATAAAAATTGCTCTTGCTGTTTAATTTCGAATTGTACAACAACAACAACATATAGTATAGTTCCACAAGTGGGGTCTGGAGAGGGTAGAGCGTATCAGACTATACTCCTGCTTTTAGGAAGACAAAAGGCTGTTTCCGGTAGACCCTCAGCTCAGGAATAACAAAGCAGAGGAGCTGTTTAATTTCGAATAGTAGATAAACAAATTAGACTTACTTGTAGTTTCTTGAAATCAGGTAGGCCCTCCTTGAGTAGAGAATCCAGCTCCGTCTCTGTAACATCCAACAACTGAACGTTTGCCTTGGCTTGATGGTAGTCAACTAGTCTTTCAAGAGCCAATTCACCTCCATGTAAAACTCCAATGGACATTGACCTCGTTAATACTCGTTGAATTTTCCCTCTTTTCTTCTTTTTTTTGTTCTTCCATAGATGACCTGTAGAAACCACTATTAGATAAAAAACAAAACATAACGTTAAAACTGTTAGCAGTCCATCGTGTTGAATTCCGACTTGGATTGCCTTTGCTTTCACTACTTCAATGAAATGTGCTATTTGGAATTCCAAACTCATTTGCAAATAGTTTAATATATTTTCCATAGTTTATATTGAGCGAAGAAATCTAGTACTTCTTTTAATTTGTGAGATCGGTTTTATATATAGAGTTCATATTAATTAGGATTATTCTTTTTCTTTAGCATCTTTGGTGTCTTGAGAAAATGTTTGTTCTTCACTTGATTGCCAAGGAATTTTTGGATGCCTTAGTGTTGTGATTACCATTTAGGAATGTTTGTTCGTCTTGTGTCTCAAGAGATCAATCTTTTAGATGGGCCCGCCCGTCTCTTTCCTTATGAATAATGCCCTTAAGTGTAAAAATTAAATGGAAGGTAAGGGATCTTTCCGCTTCTTTACCTCTCCAGGTATGGGTAGAATCTGCGTACACATTATTCTCTCTATATATGTTGTTGTAAGGGATCTTCCTGCTAAGGTTAATTGGACCAGCCACACTAACAAGAAATAAATCACATCTATATATTATTAAAAGTCAAAGAAAAAGGCACCACATTAATTCAAGTGGCAACCTAGAAAAAAGTCACATGACATAATTAGTTATTTAGTTAATAATTAATTATTAGAAATTAACAAAGAAATTAACTACCTAAATTAACTACTCAAATATGGGTGAGGGTTGCTTTAGGTTAGTTAATTTTTTTTTTTAGTAGACAAAAATATTAAGCAAGTAATATGCTAATAATTTCTATTAACAATGTAATTATACTAAACAATTGGATAATATATAAAGAAAAATACAGAACAAAAAGTTATTCGGTGACTATATCAGTCCCTTTAATTTAATAGTGATTTTATTCATTAAATTCAGACAATATCTATTCTAAAAAATAGAAGAAACAAATAAATGTGATGATGCCAAACGTAACAACAAAAAATTAACAAGTCCTCAGTACCCAAAGGTTCATTGGAAAACTATACTGGTGGGATCAAATGCAATACCTAGGCATACTTTCATTCTTTGGCCGACACTTCACCAAAGACTTACTACCGTTGATTGGTTGGCAACTTGGGGTATACTTGTAGCAAGTGAATGTGTGCTTTGTGGTCCGGGCCCGG